CCATCAATATATTTTAACTACTCTTAGATCTCGAAATTTAATTCTGGAAAATCTTTAACCATATTAACAGCACATCTTAAGATTGGCAGCAAGTACTTCAGATTCATAAGATTAAGAGGTACAGAAGGATAAACGTAAGTAATATTAAAACAATCGGATCCTTTTTGGTGATAGCATCACCAGTTGAATTAACAAGAGCAGGAAATAAAGGTTTCTGAAATAATGGAAGTGATCTTTCGCCATTGCTACATAAAATAAAAAGAAGAGGAGAATGTCTAAATAGCTAGATATGCAAGAAAGATTTGTTTACATAAGGAACTGTCATTATAGGCATATGGGAGGTTTGCTATTAATGAGTTACGATCATAGTATGATTCGTAACGTGATTTTAATAGCTTACCTCCCATATTCTCATCTACAGAAATTATCCGATGTAAAACAATTATAAATTCTAGGCTAAACATTTGTTCCCGACGGTAACATAATGTTCTTGTTTTTTAAAATATCTAAGTTTAAATAATTTATTACAAGAGTTAATATATCCATTAAAACTTAGAGCTGCAAGTGGATAATTAATATTTCTTCGATATTGAATTTACGATGCCCAAAAAATGAATTGTATCATTTTTGGTAGATAAATAAAGCTGGATTCTTTCAACCTAACAGCGTCGTTAAATACCTAAAAATGTTGATTTTAAGTCTAAATGTACAAATAAAGTTAAGACCAAATGATCGCCGCTTTTCATTTTTTCATTAACGTTAATATTCTAAGAAACAGAATCTTAATTATCACATATCTCACAGAATTTTTTGAAACGCAGTAAATTGTTGATTTGAACGTCGCAGTATCAACGAATATTAAAAAAAAATATAAATACGAAGTCAAGTCAAATGTTTCCAATAACTTGTAATTTTTACAATAGTCAAAATTTTTCATCTTAAAATACTTCTCTTGGTGTTTAACACGAATATATTATTATCAATTTTTTTATTTGTTAAATGTTATAGTATCGTGATATAAATTTGTTAATTTGAAAACAAACAATTAAGCAAAACAAGATTGTTAAATGTAAGTTCCTAATTTTACGTTGCCTACATCGAGGTTCGACAAAGGATTTGAGATCTTTACATATGTTGTCACTATCTGTGATGATGAATAAAACCGGAGACGTTTTTGCCATTTCTATCATTTCAGGAGTATACAGTTTTTTTGAGGGGACCACCAGGATACCGATTGTTTTTCTCGGGTACCTTCTAAGCGCCCCTTCAAATCGTAATATGTCGGAAGGTGCTGTTTTCGATTAATTAACATTCTTTCATAACAACAGCATTTAAATTTGATATAATACCTGGCAACCTGCGCGAGTCCTTACATTCGACTAAAAACGGGTAACCGTTTAAACGTCCGGAAATGTCTATTCTGTCGTACGATAATCTTTGAATTTAAATGAAAAATATGGGCATTTGCGACATCATTGTCATTGTCAAGAACTAAGAGAACGTTCACAGCAGAAACTATGGCTTTCAAATCACAGCCATTTTAAACCTAGTGGCAGCGTCACTTCAGATACCACAAAAAAAAACCTCGTTGACACACTCACCCTACTTTCTCGCACTCAATATTCTTATCTTTAAAAGATTTAAGGATTTTTTTGATAATCATTTTTTTTTCTAAGGAACGCATTTTGATATTTATCTTTTCAAGGGAATAAAATTTTGTTTTTCTGATTTCAATTTTTTTTTTCATATTTAAGTATTTCCATTTTCGTTAAATTGAACCGTGCAAAATTAACTATTATGTCAATTAGGTTTTCGTCATGTATGATGATCTTTCTCATTTATAGGAACACTAACATTTCTAAAGCAATATTGGTGTATAAAAGAAAATTTAAAAATAACGAATTTACAAAGTTTACAATGAAGAAATAAATAACGAATTTATAATATAATTATCGGGGAAAAAAGAGAAAGTGAGTGGTGTGTATGTATTTCAAAAAAAAGTATTTTGCAAAAAAAAATCCTTAGAGAAACTGTTGAATATAAATAATAAAAAATTATTAGGACAGCACAGCCAGATATGCAGAAACTTAATTGAAGGAACTTTGGACCAAATTATTGTTTTCAGGTGAAATTATATCAATGTAACAATATACTATATATTTTTATTGAAATAGGATTAACTTTTATTCATTTCTTTTAATTAAAATGTACAGAGGGTCTCCAAAAGTTTACACACACTTTTTTTGTACAAATTTTCTCAAAATTTTATTAAGAAATTAAGCAATTTACAAATAATAAATAATGTTTCTAGAATATTAAAATATAAATTTTATTAAGGGTTTAATACTTGATCAGACCACCATTTGCATTAATTACCACCTGAATTTGTCAGGCATACTTTTGACTAAATTTCAAATTTTTCAGAAGTAATTGATTTTCAAGCCTTTTGTACTTGTTATTTAAGTGAGAAAAGATTAGTGAGCTTTACTTTTTAGCTTCAAAGGTTTTTTTAATTTCATCTCATAAATTTTCAATCAGGTTAAAGCTAGAACTTTAGGCAGGCCATTCGTCTTAATTATAAGCACATAAATAAATTGTGCAGGATTTACGATTTTTGCGAGATTTGTGATATTTATTATATTTGTAATATTAGTAATATATTTAGATAAAATAGTAGTTCAATCAAATAATAAACAGCTTAGTACAAAATTTAATTTACTATTCTAGAAACAATATTTATTCTTTGTAGATCATTTTCTAACTTAATAAAAATATTATTAAAATTCATACAAAAAAAGTGTAAATAAACTTTTGAAGACCCTCTGTATATTCCAAGACTTTCTATAATTTATTAGTATAAAATAAAACATCTCATCTTTATTTATATTAAACTCTGTATAATAAATCTTAAATAAATAAAATTCTATATAAATAATTAATTAAAATATGTTTTATTACTTAAATTATTAGTAATAAACTGATTTTTCTTAATATTTAATATAAATTATATATGATTCTAATTAAAAATTTTATAATATAAATCAAAAATTAATATTTAAGCAAAATTTTATTTTTAATAATTTAATCTAAATTATTAAATAACTACTATTTGAATTTTTTAAAATTTGTTTTTTATAAGCTTACATATTTAAAATTTAATATATTTTATTATTTATTAATATTATTTTTTGACTTTAATAATAATATTATTACATTTTTTGTATATAGATATATTTATACTTATAGTTTACATAAATTTATAATGTAACTAAACTTTTGAATAAAGATAAAATTATTATTTAAAAATTAAAACTTTAAATTATATTAGAAAGTATATTATATAATATAACATAAATATATATAGGTATTTTGCAATAAAAATATAGTTAAAAAATAATTTACTTTTATATTAAATATGATTTTGATAGTAAAATAAATCTAAATTTAATATTAATTTTTAGATCTTAAAGTATTTTATTATAATTTTTAATTAATTTAGTTTTTATTAAATATTAAAATTAAATTATTACTAATTTTAATTAAGCTTTATATAATATTTTGAAGCATTAATAGAATTTAGTCAATAATAATGTAATATATTATTATTATATTTTTATTTTAGTTACATTTAAAATGATAATGTAATACTAGAATTAAGTACTTTTCTAAGAAGATATTTCAGTTAAAAGAAAAAAATAAGAAAGAATATTAGTAAAATATATTTAATAAATTTGAAAAAATGTTAATTTAGATAAAGAAAATAATAAACCTCAGTTGATTGCTAAAAATAATTATATAGTATAATAACAGATTTTTAGCAATTTTATTTATCAGTTTTGCTAATTTCTAATAAATGATATTAGTAATCACTAAGTATTCAGAATAAAGATTACTATTTATATTTTATAATTAATTTATTATGTTACTTAAAAATATACTTTATGACCTTTACTTATTAAGTTATTTTTTTATAAAATT